TGTACACCTTAGTTTCATACACACTACAGACTGTGATAAAATGTACATTTTTGCCTCATACACATAGCAGTAATAAAGTGTAAACCTTAGTTTCATACACATACCAGTAATACAGTGCTTTAAACCGTTGTTTCATACACACAGTAGTGAGAACATGTCTACCTTAGTATCAGTGATAAATTGTAGTAAACCTTATTTGTACACATAACAGTGATGAAGTCTCTGATAAAATTAGGCCTGGTTTGTCGATGGTTCTCTAAATGGTGTAGATGTAGGTCTCTATTGCATTTCATAGTTGATTTTCTTTTCATTCAGGAAAGAATAGTTCTTTTGCTAACCTGAATTTTCTGAAACAATTTAGCTTTCATTTTTACAGAAGTATGAAACTTAACCTATTGATCGTTTAATGTATATGCCAATACAAGAACTTATTTTAAATGAATTGAATTAATGAAACAGACATTGTCTTTATAATTCCAAATGTGTGGAGGTGTACCTAATGTTATCCCATAATGTTTGACGGGAACATGCTTTTGATCATTCTTATCTGCTTATGGAGACTATTGTTAAATAAAACTATGTTAAGAATAAAGTCCATTCATGTCATATCTTTCCATCTATGCGTGGTCATGCTCAAATAAATACGAAGGAGAGATCTTTAAATCTTGATTACATGTTTATTATTCTACCGAGTTACAACTTGGGATTGATCTACATGTAGATGGTTAATTTTACGGAGCTCATTGGCCTCTTTATATTATACAAATTGATCAATATACCGACGAAATCAAACGCAGCTTAAAATAAAGCAATCAGGAACCCTTTTGTTATTTGGGGATAACAAAATCGCAATGACTTTCAAGAAATAGATTTAAGGACAATTTCAGTTGTCCTACCCTATTGTACTGGCTTCAGAAATCAGCTTCAGATTACGTAATTTCATATTCAATTTTTTTTTAAATCGAATTACATAATGATGATAAATATAGTATGAGTAGAAACCGAGATTATGGATAAAAAACAAAGAAAAAGGACAGACGACATAACAGGTTACTATATCATCCTAATTCTAGCACATTCCATTTTTTTGCGAAATCTATGCATGGATCTATCCTTATAACAAATATCTTTTTCTGTAAGGTACGTTTGATTTAATTTCATAAGAAATAAATTAAAAGAAGCGAGTATCTCAAAAGATCTACATAAATATAATGGTTTTTTTTGCAATGATAACATGATTCAATACAGCATGCTGTTTGTCTTGTAATTACGTAAATTCATGACATTGCAGTAATCGAACATTTCCAATGGTGATGGACCAAGCTAATGAAATCGCCCAACGGTTTGATTAACAATTTAATAGTTTACGGTTTGTTAGTGCATTGGAAGATTAGAACATATTTCAGATGGAGGGGGGGGGGGGGGAGGGGTACTAGAAAACTTAAAATGCACAAGAAGTAAAATTGTGTGTTTGGCATTGGTCGGTCAGTGATAAATCGGAAATCAGCTATTCATCTAAAAAATATATATATTTCTCTCTCTCTCTCTATTGTCTACGTGGTATTGTCAATAATTGTCTTTCAGTCTGTCTCTCCGTCACACACGCCCTCTTTATTGTTACCCTCTATCTCTCTCCCTCCCTCCTATAATGTCTCGAGTCCTACTGAGATATGGATATGTCCATACAAAATTAACCCAATTAACTCTCAGAATTACGAACCTTTGGTTTATCGAACTTTTGGAATGACGCAACAATGTCATGTTTAAAAGTATGAACCATCTGGTATGGTAAACTGAAGTTTGGCATTGTGAATCTTTGGAATGATGAACTTTAAGAGACAAAAGTGTCTCTCGAGTTACAGACCAGGCTACAGCTCACGAGACCGACAGTGAAGGTCTCGTAGGTTCTCTACAGGGTGCACTAGACCGACCAGGCGCGGATCCACGGGCCGATTCTACTGGCCCGGCCCCCTAGCCCCCCAAAACGGTAAAAAATAGGATAGTAACGTAAATTGTACCTTTTTTAAAACAAAAAATAAAAGCAAGCCCTCCCCCCTGACCCCCCAAAGAGAAAAAGAAAAATATTGTTATAAATTTGCCCCTCGAAAAAAAAAATAGTGGTCCTCCTCTCCAGCATCCCCCGGCTTATTCATGAATCGCTGCTAAATATTTTCTCACTAATTGGGCCACAACCCCCCCCCCCCCGCCCCCCTTATTCACCGGCCGGCGGAGTCGGCGCAAATATTTTCTCAAGATTTGCCCCCCCCCCCCCCCTCTCTCTCTTGCTGCCGCGCCGGCTGGATCCGCCCCTCAACTGCTGGCCTCGTCGCCTGGCGGCCTAATAAAATAACCTTTAGAAAACGGGTAAAATGACGAGTGCCTCCCTCTATTGGTACCATGCCATTTACTTATCGCTTTGTCTCGTATCTTTCACTTGCCTTATGTCAAGATCATAGAACATTCATCCCCAAAAATATATTTATTTGCAAACAAAAAATCTCAGGTCTAAAAATGATTAATTTTCTATACTTTTACTGTATTGATATTCAATACTTTATTCTGAGATAGAGCGTATGCGGTAAAATTAAAAAAATCCCTTAGTGTTTGATAGACCATGAGTGCGTTAAGGGATTTTTAAAGCTAGAATCACAAACATTAATCACAAATCAAAACGCCGTTACAAAACACGGTTACTGCGGGAGATCGTTCAAGCGATTTTTCCATCAACGCTGATTCTCGCACATTCAAGTCCAGCCACTGTGCAGTTTGACCCATGCAGAAAGCACACGTCAACTTCGGCGCGCGCTTTCTTAATTTGTTGACGGTCAACTGTCGGCAAAACCGGAAGCAGGCTACGATCATGACGTCATAGAATCATGGTTGAGATCTCCGTTGCGTTCAAGCGATTTTTTGCGACCGTGATTCTGCAGAAGCACGTAACAAAACGCATCTTTTTTAGCGTTTTATGTTTGCGTTTTGAAACACGTTAATTTTTACGACCGACGAAAAATCGCTTGAAATCGCTTGGACGCAGCCGTGTTGTAAACTTAACGTCTTTGAAAACCGCGTTTCTAGGGTAAAGAATGTCGTATATGTATCACAGCTCACGGTGCTTCGTAAAGTTTTCATTAGAATTTTTGTCTTGGTACATTTTTGTTGATTGTTTGTTTTATTTCATTTGTTAAACTCTGTTACGAATGTTATGGCACAAAGTATTACTTTGTCAAAAGCTGATAAAGTTTACCCCCAAAGCGTTCATTAATTCTTCATCATTATCATCAGCAGCATCATCACCATTTATTAATGTAAGCTTTTTCCCTCTTACGAGAGGTTACTAACTTCTGGGCCATGGAACACTCAATGTCTTTACCTCTGTCTGCATGCCTTGTGCATCCTCCTCATTTAGACCAACGGTATTGCCTTTTCCCCTTCAATATCTTCCCATGTAAATATTTTCTTGGCAAAATCTGTGAATGTAACTCGACCACGCTCCGTTGGTACTGTTTTTTTAGACAGGAACGTGACTGGATTTTGTTGTTGTTGTATTTCTTCCCACATTCTTGGAATCAGCGCGATACAAAATATTTCCACTTAATAAAGTCGTTGTGTAAAAACCGATGGCGAATTAATCAAGGCCCTTGGGGTCGGAAGATCTAGGGTAGGGGGAGTTGGAATTCTCAAGAAGGCAACGTGCAATTCTATTTTTTTCATCATCAGCTGCAATGGTTGTCCAGCATCTGTACCGTTTTCGTGTAGCGCACCCAATCAGCTGATAAAATAACACACCCTCAACGTTGAAAGTAGACCTATAGCCATTCCTCTAAATCTGGACCTCGAATACGTGTGGACGGAAATTTGGGGATTGCGCGATCAGTGGAGAGACCGCGCTGTGTGTGGGGTATAAGAAGAAAGAACGGACTGAATCTGGACTACTGCAATGGTTGAGATTTGTCTGTACTTTGGGGAAAGTACACGTACTTACTTACATTCGTTGTGTCTTCAAAATGGAAGTCCTTTATCTTTCTGAAAACTCTCTGCTTGGCGGTAAATCTTTCTGCTGCTTCTGCACCAAGGTTGCGGAACCGTCTTCCTCATACCTCCGATCTTTCAAGGAGATAATATAGGCTCTCGTGACCTCCTATACTTTCAAAACCCACATCTATTCCATAAACAACTAGTCACAACCCCCATCTTTTCCAGGTAAATCATGGACGACATTTTTAGTCGTTTTTCAGTTTCATCCTTCAGTCCATGTGAGTAGGGTGCTAGGTATTGGCGGTCTAAATGTTCCAAGATTGGATTGAATAACTTCCTGACAAATATTTCACTGTATTGAGATTTATTTGAATAAAAGCAAAAAAATTCATCAAAGGTAACAAGGTGTTTTTTCCTTTTGAAAGCTCATGTTCAGACAGCTGGAGCCAGAAACAGAAGTAGAAATAGAATCATACTTGACCTTGAGTTGTCAAACATTATTACACATGTTTAAAGTTTGCAAGTGAAAGGGTGACTGTCTACATTTACTTATACACACCTATGCCCTTGCCCCTTTCACATTGGATGTCCAGCTAGCCTGTTCTGAGCTTTAGCTCAGCTCTGTTTACAAATGAAAATGCTTCCGGAGAAAAAACTCACATAATACACAGCCCATTCGTTCTAACCAGGGTCATCCCCCTGTTCTGACTCTTTATCATCCAGGATATTCCTGGTATTATCATCAGCCTCTCGGCGGGGTTATACGAGTGATGCCGAGCTATCCCGAGAGGGTTTCTCGAGTTCACAAAGGGTTGTGCAGCTCGGGTTCCTCCTTGGCACCAATGCGGCGAAAAGTGGGAGGGGCTAAAGTGTTATAAATACCGAAGCCAATCCGCTCCTCAGACACTCGAAGTCAGCGCGCACTTATCTTCTCATCAAAGATTGCCGAAAGTCTTCTATAGAGCTTCACTTTCGAAGAAATTTTTTAAACAATTCTCCCAGCTTCTTTCAACTCAGTTTTCAAGATGAAGTCGTTCTTCGTCATCACTCTTGTTCTATTTTCATGTCTGTGTCTTGTTGGAGTCACCCAAGCCGTTGCTGTCTCAAAGGAAAGTACGCAATATGAAGGTGAGGTTTCTGGGCAGGTTTTATTTATATAATCATTATACTACACATCACTGTACAAATATACCTTTGATGTATTGTACACAATTGCAAAAAGGGGGTAGATATCCTCCTAAATAACAGCATCATTGAGGTTTATTTTGAATAGTCTTATGGGGATTTTATTTCCCAACCAACGTCATCTTGGCAAGAAATAATAAACTTGATTTAATCGATAACTTTGATCCACAAGAGCAGTTGCGATTGGCTAATCGCAAGTTTCTATTTTAAGCCAGGGAAATAATTTGCAAGTGTAATAAGTTCTTGAATAAAATATATTCTAGTCAGCTGCTTTTCATTGTTGATATAGTTGATATTAAGATACTTGATATGGTGAATCTACGTAGATGTTAACTCACGTAATTAATTATAATTTTCGTTGATACCTTTTCTTCCTTGTTTTATCTGTTAAAGGAATACGGTTGAACTAATAATACATTCATGATATAAATTGTAACAGTAATAATATGGTTCGAAGTACGAGGTAAACAAGATCTGGATCAAAATATAACAAAAAAATAAATACTTTCTCCCCAAAATGGAAATATTTTATTACCAGAGATTGTTTTTATTCTCTCTCCCTCTTTCTCTCTCTCTCTCTCTTCTCGCATGTAGCTTTTGACCCTGAAAACATTCTAAATTCAGGAAAACTGACCGAAACAGAAGAGGATAAAATCTCTGAAATTAGAAACCAAGTATTGTTCCTTCAGGTATGTACACGTATTAACAAGTATACACATTTGCATTCCACATAATTTTTTATAAAAAACCACTAAAGTTAGGCCAGATGTAAAACGTGCACATACGCAAAAGCGGGGGGGGGGGGGGGGGGGGGGGGGTAACACCCCAATCGCCAATGTTCCTTGTGTTTACTGTTAAATTTTGCAGTAAGTATACTTGTCACGTCAAATGGAGCCTAGAAGACCATGCCAGTCCGACCCCGTCGTGTATGCGACGCCTTGAATGTTTTGGTCCTAAGTCAGTCGAGTTAGTCCACTAATTTCTCGAAAACCAAGGGCCAACCTTTTAAAACTTGCAACGTGTCACATTTCAAACACCGAAATGGCAATGGAAAATCAATTTCTTCAAGGAATTAATATCTCATTTTCGTTTCACGACTCAATGGATGAGAATTGTAGTTTGCAGGATGGTTATAATGTTGTTTATTATGATTTCATGTGATTTCTGATTTGCAAAAGAACGTTTTATATCATTTCTAACAGATATGAGGGAGTATTTCATTAAAAAACAGTGTAACTTTATGAATATCTTTTAGACAGACCATCTTTTAGTGATCGTCTTTTCAAAAACTATTAGAATCTTCCATATCTACTATTACTACTCGAAGGCGGTCAGAAGGCATCAATACATTGATAAACATGTTTTCGGCCAAATTGCCCATACAGCCTACCGACCAGATGACGTTGGGTTGGAAGGCATGTTTCACCGGAAAAAAATTCCATTTCAGATTTGATTAATACCTTCATTCCACTGTCTTAATCACAGAAAATAACATCGAGGGTACGTATACTATCAGTGATTTAAAACCTGAATGTGTATTTTAATTTTATCTCATGTAGGAATCCGTTGCTGAGATCACCCGTTCCTTCTCAACTCTCGAACTTGTTGCGAAGAATCCATCAATGATGGCCAAGATTCACATTTCTGACTCTCTCGAGACCGATCTTGAGCTGGGAGAACCTGAAAAGACACGACGTCGAAGGGAACTCGACTCGCAATCGACTTTCCCGACATCGTTCCCACCATCTGGTGCCGAGCAGCAAAGCCTGGGTCAGAACCCGTTTGGACCATACTCATGGCCAATGTATTCTGGTAAGAGCAACAGGGTCCTATTTCATAAAACTTGTAATCAATAACAGATTCTTCTATTTTATGACAAATTTCATCTCAGCCAATCAAATGCAACAAATTCAGAAGTTTATAAAAGTTACTATTACTTGTTATTCAACAAGGTTTATGAGAACGAAATTCTAGAGCCCTACGTCAAAGTCCGCAAATATGAGACATCAATGCTCGAAACATTATGTATGCGTCAACGAGAAGGGGGGGGGGAATACCAACGGAACGTTAAGACGTAGACCATTATCATCCACTTTTAGAATAATTTCCGGACAGAGATAATTTGCTTTAAATGTTGTATTATGCAAACATGTTACTCACGCCTCGTAGATCATTAAACTTCATAAAAAATAAATATGCTCTTTCTTCTTTAGGTCAATGTTTCTTATGTCCTGCTGGTGTTCCTGGTCAAAGAGGTCCTCTAGGGCCACAGGGGACTGCCGGAAGGGACGGGAGAGATGGACGGGATGCGCCGACAGGTCCACAAGGTAGGCATATAACAAAACATCAATCTGACTCGATATGGCACAACATGCTACATCGTAATAGTTCATGCCGAAGAATGCATGGCAAGCAAATTCAAGTTATTGGAAAGCACTTCAGAAATTGTAACTCCTGTTTCCTCTCTGGCCAATGACGCAATGGAGAGATACCATAAAATGTTATTAAAAATAAAATATGGAGTCGCATAGTTGGGAGGTCAGTCGTATTTGCTTTGTTCTCACATTCTTATGTAATAACAACCGCCGCTTCCAAAAATGCCTACTTATTAAATTGAAAACCACAAAATGCAATAATTCATTGAAATGATGGTGAGAACATGAATGGGGCAAAGTACACCCAAAAGTGTGTGCAGTGTTTTAGGGTTAATTAAATTTACTACAAGTGATAATATCCCTTATACCCCGAGTATAACTTTAATATAGATTCCGAACTTCTAGAATAAAGTTTAATTTTGTCTAACGATACCAATAGAACTTCTGAATGTTTAACATTTTAGCTCAAGAAGCCCCCACTTCACCAAGTGACGAAACAAACCCAACTGAATCCCGCGGTGATGCAGTAGTGCGTCCAGTAGGTAACATGACAAGTCTACCTGGTGTCATCTACATTCGCTGGGGTAATGATGTTTGTCCCGAAGATGCAGAACTCATCTATTCAGGTTGGTACAGATGGGTAATATCACATAGAAAGAAAACGCTAAACATGGTTTTGACATGATCGCAAGGACTTTCTGAAAATCAACCACAGGCAATTTCAATAGCCTTGTCCGTCTGTCAAATTGAAATGTGCGAACACTTTAACGTATTTCAAACATGATGGGACACACAATAGGGTATGAAATATCCTCGAGTTAATTTTTCGAAAGTCTTTTCAAAGTACTTGTTTCAATGTTAGTGTATTCTGCAATCAATCTAATGTTGTGCATCAAAATGTTGTGCATTCTTCATCACCACGAACAAAACACCTGCCTTCAGTAGCCTCACTGGCTGAAAGTTAAGTGCACAAGAATGGTTGGGTGTTAAGTGAATGCACAAAATATAGCAAATCCTCTGCGTTATTGTAATGTTTGACCCATTTCTGTACAGTATATTGAAGAAAAGAAAAAAATATGATAATGAATGTCAGCAAATAACAAAGAGAAGATTAACATTCACTAATGTTTGAATAGGTATATTGCGCAAATAACCACCCCGGCAGGGGATGCTGCAAGGCGCCTACAAGTACAGTGTACTTTAATTCCCCTTGCTTTAGACAAGCTGACCTGAAGGTCAAGGAAGCATTGAAGGATTTTTAAAAAGAATTAATTCTTACCAGGTACCCATTTACTAGACCAAGGACGACATGCAGTGCCGAATGTAGATTAATATATTGCCAAAAGCCTTTTAATGACGATACTCGAACCGCAAACAATGTGATCCACATTCCGGTAACGTACCCACTGTGCAAATTGTTTGGTAAATGAGTGTAGAGAGCTGTAGAGATGTCATAGATTATGTCATCAGGCAGTATATCATATGGTGTGTTGTTCGAGTCCCAGCCCCGTACTAATGTCCTTTGCCAAGATATTAATCTTCAGTTGCTACTCTCCACCCAGTATTCCTTTAATGTTCTCTGGAGTTTCCTTCAGTGGTTGGCATTGGTCCCACATCATGCTCAATTTCGATTCTGATGAATTTGTACTTCAGTGGGTTTACCTTTGTTTGTGTTACATTGCTTTGTGATTTATTCAGGTACTATTGGAGGTGCACACTACACTCATGCTGGTAGCGGCTCAATCATCTCTGCATGCCGGAAGAGCCTATCTATGACGAAGTAGAAACTTCCCTATACACGTGGAACGAGCCCTATTGTACTCCTCTGAATACCAAGCCAGTACTTCTCCTTCACGCATGCAACCAATGCATGACCACACTCCGACCTGTGCAGTCTGCAGGGCGCCTTCTGGCCGCACCAGTAAACTTATGATTCCTGCCCGCAACGTGTGTCCTTCTCAAGAGTGGCGTTTAGAGTACGCTGGTTATCTTATGGCAGAAAATACTCACACAAGAGATCGGAATTTGTGTGTGTGGACCGAGAGATGGTTCCTAAAGCGGGTACCCACGGGAATCAGAATGGTGCGCTGTTGTACATAACAGAAGTCCGGTGTCAAGTGGGTGATGGCTTGGATTGTGGACCCTACATCGATGGTTACGAAATTACTTGCGCCGTCTGTACTATCTGAAGTCCTATATAAATACTTCTTCATTTTGTATAGTTTGACACAGTTGTCAGTTCTTGTCATGCTTCTGGAACATCTTAGTTTCATACCGAGGCAGTGATAAAGTGTAAGCCTTTGTTTCATACACACAACAGACTGCGATAAGATGTAAACCTTAGTTACTTACACACAATAGTGATAAAATGTAAACCTTCGTTTCATACACACATTAATGATGAAGTGTAAACCTTAGTTTCATACACACATTAGTGATAAAATGTAAACCTTAGTTTCATACACACATTAGTGATAAAGTGTAAACATTAGTTTCATACACATACCAGTGATAAAATGTAAGCCCTTGTTTCATACACACAACAGACTGCGATAAGATGTAAACCTTAGTTACTTACACACAATAGTGATAAAATGTAAACCTTAGATTCATACACACATTAGTGATAAAATGTAAACCTTAGTTTCATACACATACCAGTGATAAGGTTTAAGCCTTTGTTTCATACACACAACAGACTGCGATAAGCTGTAAACCTTAGTTACTTACACACAATAGTGATACAATGTACACCTTAGTTTCATACACACATTAGTGATAAAATGTAAATCTCAGTTTCATACAGATACCAGTAATAAAGTGTAAACGTTAGTTTCATACACACACAATAGTGATAAAATGTCCACCTTAGTTTCAGACACATACCGGTGAAAGAGTGTATACCTTAGTTTTTTACACACAGTGATAACGTGTCTGATACAATTAGGCCTGGTTCGTCGATGGTTCTCTAAATGTTGTAGATGTATATTGAATTTCATGATACTTGTAGATTTTCTTTTCCTTAGGAAAGAATAGTTCTTTTGCTAACCTGAATTTTCTGAAACAAATTAACTTTCATTTTTACAGAAGTGTGAAAAGAAACCTATTGATCGTTTAATGTACATGTGAATATAATAATTTACTTTAATTGAACTGAATTAAAAATACATTGTCTCTATAATTCAAAATGTGTGAAGGTGTACCTAGTGTTGCCCATAATCTTTGAAGGGAACTTGCTTGCTTTAGATCAATTTATCTGCCTATGGAGATTTTTTGAAATAAAATGTTTCTTATTCAATTCAGGTCATGTCATTCCATTTATGCGTGGTCATGCTCAAATAAATACGAAGGAGAGATCTTTAAATCCTGATTACCTGTTTTTTTATTCTACAGAGTTACAACTTGAGTTTGATTTAGATGGTAAATTTGAAAGAGCTCACAGACCTCTTTTTATTATACAAATTGATCAATATACCGACAAAATCAAACGCAGCTTTAACAAAGCAATCAGGAACCCCTTAATTATCTAGGCATAACAATCTCGCAATGACTTTCAAGAAATACATAGATTCAATGGCAATCTCAGTTGTCCTACCCTATTGTACTGCCTTCAGAATCAAATTCAGATTACGTAATTTCATTTTTATGTTTTTTGTTGTTAAATTCAGTTAAAACATGTCATACATAATACAAATTAAAATGTAACACATGTATTTCAAATATACCACTGTCACAATACAAAATGATGATAAATGTAATATGAGTAGAAACCGAGATTATGGTTAAACAAAACAAAGAAAAAAGACAGATAACATAACAGGTTACCAGGGGCGTAAATCCGTACCGAGGAGTGGGGGGGGGGGATGATCGGCGATAGCCATCACATACTAGCACGAGCACACACCCACAATAATTTATGCAAGCGCGTGCGATTCCGCACGCACAAACACACAACTTTTTTTTTGTTATTATTTTTAATCTCAACACAACCACACACACACACACACATACACGCACACCAGGCGCGTACGCAGGGGGGGGGGGGGGTTTGGGGGGTTAAACCCCCCCCCCTTTGGAAATTTTTTGTGTGTAAACCCCCCTAAAAAAACCTAAAACCCCCCCCCTTTTGGATTTTTTTTTTTTTTTTTTTAATTATTAAAAAAAAAAAAAAAAAAAAAAATTATTCCCATGGCCGACCTAAAAAAGGTGACCTTACCCCCCCCCAACGGAGCAAAATGTCAAATTTCCAATTTCGAGAGACCAAAAAAAAAAAAAAAAGTGTCCTCTTACCCCCCCCCCCCCCCCCCCCCCCCCCCCCCCCCCCCCCCCGCTTATTCAGCGGTCGACTGAGTCGTTGCGATTTTTTTGGGATAAAAAAAAAAAAAAATGTGTCCTCTTACCCCCCCCCCCCCCCCCCCCCCCCCCGCTTATTCAGCGGCTGGCTGAGTCGTTGCGAAATTTTCGGACCGATTTATAAATGTTAAAACCCCCCCCTTGAAAAAATCCTGCGTACGCGCCTGACGCACACACTCAACAAACACACACGTACCCAAACACATGTACATAAATTTATACATGCATACATACATGCACGCACATGCCAAATTTGACAACCATAAAGTAAAAGAATTGGACATATATTTCGAAATACTGACAGCTGCAAACTGTAGTGTTTTATTATAATGAACTCCGAAATAAGACGACACACTTTCAAGTAGTAACATAAAGATTGAGTATTTCTTCAGGAAGATGTGAACTCTTTATTTTGAGTCCCATCACTTAGAAAATGATTTATAATGGTAAGGGCCGGGCGTCGCTATTTTTAGTGGGGGGGGGGGGGGTGTAGAGGCCAACGATTACCGACAAAACTAGCCCCCAATTACCGACAAAATTAAATGTCCCAATATTTACAAATTTAATCCTATATACCCGGGGCCGAAGGCTAAATTGTTTTTCCTACGGACTATCTATAGTACTTGCGTATGCGCAAATGGTCATTTTCCTCGATGACATAAATATACGAATTATTACTTAGTCAGCATCATAGCTATATATTTTAATGTAGGCGCAGAGCTAGGATCTCATTTTAGGGAGGGGCGGTAGTGAGCAGGCGAATTACTCAAAGAGTACGCGAAGCGCGCTCATTAGGGGAGTGTGGGTGATAGGCCACCGCGCGAAGCGCGGAAGCTTAGACGTTTCCTTAAATTATTAGGAAAAGAAGACGATTTATTGTACCGTTCTCGACTGTTAACCCTTGTCTGTATGAATTTCCCCGCCCCTCCCGCGCAAAGCGCGAAGGCTTTGGCGTTTCATTAAATTATTATAAAAAGAAGACAATTTGCTGTACCGTTCTCGACTGTAAATCCTTGTCTGAATTCAGATCCCCGACCCCCCCGACCCCCCCCCCTCCCGCGCAGAAGCTTTGGCGTTTCATTAAATTATTAGAGAAAGTAGACAATTCGTTGAACCGTGCTCGACTCTTAATCCTTGTATGAATTCAGTTTTTCCCTCTCTCTCCCGCGCGAAGCGCGGAAGCTTTAACATTTCATTAAATTAGTAGAGAAAGTAGAAGATTTGTTAAACCGTGCTCGACTCTTAATCTTTGTCTGAATTCGGTTTACCCCTCCTGCGCAAAGCGCGGAAGTTTTGACGTTTCATTAAATTATTAGAGAAAGCAGACGATACGTTGTACCGTTTTCGACTCTTAATAAGCCCTATTTATCTGAATTCAGTTTCCCCCTCTCGCGCGAAGCGCGGAAGCCTTGACGTTTCCTTAAATCATTAGAGAAAGCAGACGATTGGGTGTACTGTTCTCGACTCTTATTTATCGTCTGAATTCAGTTTCCCCTTCCCACACGAAGCTCGAAAAGCTTAGACGTTTGATTTAAATATTATAGAAAGAAGACGATTCGTTGCACCGTTGTCGACTCTTATTAAGCCTTATTTATCTGAATTCAGTTTCCCCCTCTCACGAGAAGCGCGGAAGCTTTGACGTTTCCTTAAATTATTAGAGAAAGTAGACGGTTTGTTAAACCGTGCTCGACTCTTAATCTTTGTCTGAATTCGGTTTACCCCCCCCCCTCCCGCGCAAAGCGCGGAAGTTTTGACGTTTCATTAAATTATTAGAGAAAGCAGACGATTGGGTGTACTGTTCTCGACTCTTAATTCTCGTCTGAATTCAGTTTTCCCTTCCCGCGCGACACGCGAAAAGCTTAGACGTGCGTAGCCAGAGTTTGATGTTTGTGGGGGGGGGGGGGGGGTGCACATACATGTAATCGATCGAGGTAAAAAAAAAAGGGGTCTAAAAAAGCAACCGATCCTGGAAATTTAGAGAGCACGTGCCCCCCCCCCCCCGTGGCTACGCGCCTGTTAATTATTATAGAAAGAAGAAGAGAAGGCGAACTTTAGACCGTTCCTGAAACGGTCTAACCTGCGGCGGCGCTTTATACTGACCGTTCGACCCCACACGGCGCAATCAAGATCAGTGCAGTAGTCACGGTAACCTACTGGCCCCCTACCTCCCCTAGATCGCGCGGGCGGGAAAAATTGTTCTGCATTGCTAGCGCGAGAGAGCGGAGCATGCATGCGGTGCAATATGCAGAAGACTGCGTGGCTGGCCGGCCGGGCGCGGCCCAATGCATTTTGTGTATATAGTGGGATTCTTATTATTCTGAAGTTTATGAAGTGCTTGTTCGCGCACGTCGCGCAACTATTCTTAATGATAGTGACATTCTGTATACGTGTAGGCTATACAGTTAAACATACATAAAAAAGAACTCATTTC